CTCAAGCCGCACCTCCATCTCCTACCGACCAACCTCATCCCGCCCCCCTGACCTGTCCGTCTTCCCTGGACTGACCTATCCCCTCACTAACTCCCCACCTACACTCACCTTTACTGGCCCCATCCCTGCCTCTTCGATCTGTTTGTTTCCTCTCCACCTATCCTCTCCTCTATCCATCTTCTATCCGCCTCCCACTCTCTCCCTATTTATTTCAGAACCCCCTTCCCCTCCCCCTTTTCTGATGAAGGGTCTAGGCCCGAAACGTCAGCCTTTCTGCTCCTATGATGCTGCTTGGCCTGCTCATCCAGCCCTGCACTTTGTTGTCTCTCTATTTCCTGTCTGTTCATGTGTCTGTCTGAATCCTCTTAAACGTTGTTATCATATTTGCTTCCATTACCTCCCCTGGCAGGATGTTATAGGCACCCACCACCCTCTGTGTAAAAAACTTGCCTCGCACATTTTGTTTAAACTTTCCACTTCTCACCTTAAAACTATGCCCCCTAACATTTAACATTTCCACCCTGAGAAAAAAAAACACTCTAACTATCCATCCTATCCATGCCTCTCATTATTTTATATACTTCTTTCAGGTCACCCCTCAGGGTCCAATGCTCTGCCAATAACATTCTAAATTTTTCCAACCTTTCCTCATAGCTAATTCATTCCAAACCAGGCAAAATCCTGGTAAACCTATTTTGCACTCTTTGCAATGCCTCCACATCCTTCCTATAGTGTGGCAACCTTTCAGGGAGATCTGATATTGCACCCCAAGATCCCTCTGTTATATCAATGCTTCTAAGGGTTGCAACATATACTTTCCTCTTGAATTTGACCTCCCAAAATGCATCTACTCACACTTGTCCAGATTAAACTCCATCTGCCATTTCTCTCCCCAACTTTCCAACTGATGTATATCATTGTTCATCTTTTGACAATCTTTCTCACTATCCACTTGCCACCAATCTTCATGCCATCTGCAAACTTACTAATCAGACCACCTACATTTTCATCCAATTCCAATATTCATATTCCAAACAACAGAGGTCCTAGCACTGATCTTTATAGAGCAACACTGGTCACAGACCAGTCAGTAAAACACCCCTCCACAACTATCCTCATTCTTCCATGACCAAGCCAATTTTGTATCCAATTTACCAACTCACTGTGGATCCCATGTGACTTGATCTTGTGAACGAACATTCCATGAGGGATTTTTCGTAAAGTCCATGTAGATAACATCCACCACCTTATCCTCAATCATTTTTGTCACATTCTCAAAAATCACAAAGCCAAGGTGACTCTCCTTAATAAGTCCATTCTTTTCCAAATGCCAGGAAATCCTGTCCCTAACAATCTTCTCCTATCATTTCTCTATCACCGATGTAAGGCTCGCCCACCTATAATTTCCTGCATTGTACCTGTTTCCTTCTTAAACAAAGGAACAACATTGGCTACTCTCCAGTCTTCTGGGACCTCGCCTGCGGCTAAGGAGGATACAAAGATCTCTGTTGAGGCCACAGCAATCTCCTTCCTTGCCTCCCTCAATATGCTGGGAGAGATCCCATCAGGCTCTAGTGACTTATTTACCTAAATGTTTTTCAAGACACCCACTAGTTCCTTCTTACTATCAATATGCCCGAGAACATCAACACATATCTCTCTAATTCTATCATCATCTGTGTTCTTCTTGGTGAACACCAATGCGAAGCACTTGTGAAGGATCTCACCCACTTCCTCTGGCTCGGTGCATAAATTCCCTCCTTTTTCCTTTACTGAACCTACCCTTACCGTAGCTACGCTCTTGCTCCTAATATATGTATAAAATTCTTTGTGATTCGCCTTAATCCTTCTTGCCAAGGATATTTCATGGCCCCTTCAAGCTCTCCTAATTCCTTGTTGATTTTTTTTCCTGCTTCCTTTATATTCATCAAGGACTTTGTCTGATTTCAGTTTCTTAAACTTCGCATATGTTTCCTTTATCTTTCAAAAATCTTGTCATCCAGAATTCCTGAATCTTGCCATCAAGACAAGCAATTGGCGTTTATCAGGGATTTGAACCTGGGATTTCTCCCATAACAGTGCAACACAAAGCCTAACCCGCCAATCATACCCCTAGGCCAACAAGCAAAATGAGCCAATGGATTGCCCCTGTCTCTGCCCTTGTGTTATAATGACTGCTAGATGTTCCTTTACCGTGAGACTGTTAACTAATTCTGGCTTTTTCTTCATCACAGTGTATTGAGCAGATGTCTAAATGACTGGGCTGCTAACATCCACCCACCCTCCTGCAAATATCTTATGGTAATAGACAGCTGAGCTCCAACAGACAAATGTTACCATGCAACCAAGCTTACCTTAACCCACATTACCTTCAGGTATGTAGCGTTCAGCACCTACAGTCCAGGAGGTATTCGGGAGTAGGTTCCATCAACTGCTTCCCTTCAAACAAAAAGTACTTGTATTTTTATCACATCTCACCACAACTCCTGGGATGTCCAAACACTGGGAATTCACTGAATTATTTGTGGAATGCACAGTTTTCTGGCAAAGTTCAAGTGCATAGCAAAGTTCAACAAACAACGTTAAGGTGAATGATTTGTTAATTATTATCGTTCAGACTTAAAATGAAGTGCCCTCATTTTAGCGTTAATATGGGATCTTTAATTTCTATCAAAGGAGGCAGATACATCTTGGTTTAAATTCTTCTCCAAAGGACAGTGCCCCTGGCAACGCTGCAATCCCTCAGTTCTCAATGTCATATTTGATCATGAGGAAGGATTTTCACAGGATTTCACTGCAGGAGTTTGATCAGAAACCCTGAAGAAAAACAGTCCAGGGCATGTATGTTCAAATTCTAGAGTGAGACATAAATCCAATTTTTGACAGCATCAAGTTTGTATCATTGAGTAAGGGTTTAAGATAGAGGTGAAGACAATATTTTTCTCTCGGAACATAATGTATCTGTGGAATGCTTTATCACAGAGGGCTATCAAGGCTGGGTCATTAGGTATATTCAAGGCTGAGATAGGCAGTTTTTTTAAATTACTAAGGGAATTGAGTGCTATGGGGAAAAGGCGGAAAAGTGGAGTTGAGAATTTTATTGAATTTCATTGAGTGGCAGAGCAGACTTGATGGGCCGAATAGGCTCCTTTTGCTCCTACATCTTATGGTCTTATGGACATGCATTGGATATTGGGCAGAAATAGAAAATTCTGGTGCAGAACAATCAGAAGATTTTTTTTTAAAAAAACACATTAACACTACTGATATTCACTTACGTCTGTAATGCAGGGAGTGTCACTGTTGGGCCCGTCAGATGTTGAACTGAAGGCTGGAGGCTGCTGTGCTGTGCTTTTGGGTTGGAAGGCAGCATGGATGGCCACAATGGGTGTCCTATTGGTGGGAGAGGTGGATGTAGTGTGGGTTGTCCCTGAGCAGAGTAGTGATGATGGTGATGCACGGAAGATGGGCGAGGTTTCTCGGCTTTCACTACAAGTGGCACTGCTGGCTGAACGTCCTGCAGTTTAGGAGGAAGGTAACTCATCAGTTCCAGAACACACACTTGCACAGATAGAAGGTAGTGCTAGACTTATTTGAAGTCAACTTTATTCTGTAGTGGAAACTGAATATATTTCTGACCTGTAAAGATGATATCTGTCCTACATCACATGCTGGTGTAAAAATTGTGTCAAAACAGTAGGCATGTCAAAGTCCTATGGTTTTATTTAATTTTTTTGTGGAGGTTAAGCAACGAGGGTGAGAATAGAGCCCCTTAAAGATCAACAAGGTCGGTCATGTGTGGAACCACAGGAGATGGATAAGATACTAAATTAATATTTTGCATCAGTATTTACTGTGGAAAAAGATATGGAAGCTAGGGAACTTGGGGAAATAAATAGTGACATCTTGAAAAGATTTACAAGGATGTTACAGAGACTGGAAGGTTTGAGTTATAAGGAGAGGCCAGGTAAACTGGGATTATTTTCCCTAGAACATCAGAGGCTAAGAGGTGATCTTATAGAGGTTTATAAAATCATGATGGGCACAGATAAGTTGAATAGTGAAGGTCTTTTCTCCAGGGTAGGGGGTCCAAAACTAGAAGGCACAGGCTTAAGCTGAGAGGGGAAAGAGGTAAAAGAGACCTGAGAGTCAACTTTTGTCACAAGAGGGTGATGTGTATATGAAATGAGCTGCCAGAGGAACTGGTAGAGGTGGGTTCAATTACAACATTTAAAAGACATTTGGACAGGTACATGAATAGGAAAAGTTTAGAGAGATATGGGCCAAACGCAGACAAATGGGACTAGCTTAGTTTAAGATATGGACGAGTTGGGCCAAAGGGCCTTTTTCCATGCTGTACAACTCTATGACTCTACAACTGAATGGCCTGCTTCTATGCCACAATAACTCTATGGCACACTTACTTGAAGCAGGGACTGTGTTAGACAAGATTTGGATATTTGGGCTCATGGTTATCCCAGAGAAGTATCACATTAGGTTTTGAAAGACCAAATATACTGGGCATGGTTTAGGACAGGGAGTGGTGAAACTTCAACTAAACCAGAAACGACAAAATTCAGGCTTCAACCAGGGAGTAAGAAGCAAGTCCAGTATTAATTGTAGTCCTTGGTTATTAGTCATCATTTATCACTTTGTTGCCCAAGCCATCCTCCTTTCACTCCTTTTAAAACATGATTGAAAAAAGAGAATCCAATCTGGTGCTGTGTCAGAGGTGGAGGCTACTTTCAGAGACCTGAGCTAAACGCTCTTTAACAAACACTCATGTTCCCAAACTGTAGCCAAAAATTTGATTTACAGATGGGTTCATCAGCAGCAAGTTTGGGAGATGTATTCTCTTAAAAAGTCGAGGACGAGGAACTTCTTAACATTTGCCTGAACATTCATCCCAGGAGCACTGGTATACTATGGAAAAGACAAGTGTCAGTCAATTAAATGAGCCGTAGAAGCCCTTAGGTGCAATCTGCTGGAGCATCAATTTCTCCAAAGTAACCAACCACTGTCCCTCAATAGTCATTTTAACAAAGAATTATTTCATTACTTCAGCCCTCTTGTTTGAATTGGAACTTGAACACATGCATTTACTGAGAGTGTGCCCTCTGTGCTAAGTGCAATGGCTCCATGCAGGGGACAGGTTGGGATGTGTGGCAAGATGATTTAGCATCAGTCAAATCCCAGAGGAGTATGTCCCTTTTATAATAATTAGCCCAGAAATGGGAAGAGCCTTCCTCAGCCAGCAAGTAGTAGTCCTGGAACGAGGATGGGAGTCAAACAACTGAAAGATTTGTGTTATGCAAATTAAGAGGTACATGAAACTTGAACTGTGAAGTAATTTTAATAAGCAAAAGGCTGTTCTGAACCAGTAGGATTTGTAACAGTGTCTGCAACTAACTGGATCTCCTTAATCAAAGTACATGCTGATATATCTAACTACCACTTGGTTTCTATCCAAGCATCCTCTCATTGCTACCTTAAAATGTACTATCTGCAAGATGCACTGCAGAAATTCACCAAACATCCTTAGATAGCACCTTCCAAACCCACAACCACTTCCATCTGGAAGGACAAGGGCAGCAGATACAAGGGAACACCACCACCTGCAAGTTCACCTCCAAGCGCTCACCATCCTGAATTGGAAGCATATTGCCATTCCTTCATTGTTGCTGGGTCAAAAGCCTGGAATTCCTTTGCTAAGGGTATTGTGGGTCTACCAACAGCACATAGACTGCAGCAGTTCAAGAAGGGAGCTCACCGCCACCTTCTCAAGGGTAGCTAGGCACAGGTGTGACATTGCACACCCCACAAGTGAATAAAAAAATCCATACTTTGCATTTGATAGATAACAGGATATTGATATTGCAGACTGGTGCCTCCACCTGCCAACCTTCATTCAGACTTTGTGTGAACTGAGACCATACAGGTCAAGTTTAGTGCTGCTGAGTGACATCTGTCATCCAAACAGCTTCATAAATGCCGTCAGCTCAGAGCCTCAGAAATGTCTGAAAGCATATTGAAACCTCTCAGTGGACAGAAAATGTCAGCTGTGCTTAGCAATCAGGCAACCCACTTCCAAACTAAATAAGAAAAGATCTTTTTATCAGTTTGAGATTTTCAGAAGTAGAAGCATGAATTCATTTCCAACCGTAATGACGGATTAAAAGATGGCCACATTTCTTTCCATTCTCATGCCCCTTTCAAAACAGGAAATCTCATTCACAACTTTAATTGGTCAATTTTAATTGCCGATAGTGTTGCCAGTATTGGTGGGAGAAATCTCACGCCTCGTCAGCACTATTACAGATCCCTTGTTTTCATAATAAGGGCCAGATCGGAATTGACTGTGGTGTCCTTTACAATCAAATGGCATAACAGCACTCATTGCCAATGCTTTCACATGAATAATAGCTATTCAGCCGAGGTGTTAGTGATTGGTAAATATCCCAAAAAGGAGAAAGAGAAAAATTCTTGGAAAAAGCTGAAGAAAGAAAGAAGTTGCATGACTAATCCCTGTTGACTGCTCACCACGTTTCCTTCTGAACAAACTGCTAATGGTTTCAGTCTGTTGGTTTGAGAAAGTGGAGGAATTCTTGATATTTGACATTTGGTAGTCGAGGCTGGCTGCTTCAGAGTCAGAAACAATCCATGGCAATTGGCATCTTGCTCAGTTGTCATAGAATGACATAAATGGCAAGTATGTATGCAGAAGGGCCATCCGAAAACTATGTCCTTCTTTTGAAATGCCTGATTTTCAAAAACAATGTCATGGATTTTGTCAGGCAATATTCCCCTTTCTGTTTATGAAAACATGTTCTACACATTGGTCCATGCTGACATAGACAGTGACTGCAAGATGTGGAATGGAAGTGTTTAAAGACTCAGTGGACACATACAAGTGTATCAGGCTCCTTTCTGCTTCAAGTTAGCAAGATCTATACTTCCACATAAAAATTATTCCTTAGTAAATAAAAGGACAGAGACACCTGGAAAAATTTAGTAATGTCCTAATTCATTTTCAGTAACAATAATATTTTCTAAAGTCGCAGAAATTGTTGCCATTTGTAATGACGTGATTCACAATCCTATATTCAAGATTTATTGCAGGACATACCTCGCCGTTATCATCCTGGATGATTTGTAGTCAGCATTAAGGGAGATCCATGGCACAGGCCAGACCATGGGTGAATGGCAGACAGTCCCGTACAATCTAAGATGTCCAATGGATGAGAGAGGTCAATGGCATCTGATTGGCACATCCTAAATGATCCAGTGAAGAGTGTTACAGGAACCCCTAAACTGTCTAAATAATCTGATGAATGACAGGTACTAAGTCCTTTGGGAGGTCGATGACAAAGATGATCCAATGAATGAAAGGAAATTAGACTGATGATGAACTAATCTGTCAGGAGGATTTTCTTACCTGCCCATGAGAAATCACAGGACTGACAAAGTTGCCAGGCTGAGAGAATGCCATTGGAGGTAGTGCCTTCAACATCATATTATGCATAATGATTTGATGCATTTGGGCATTTTGCATTAACATCAGCTCCACCATGTCTGTGAACAAATAAATAAAAGATTATAGGAAACATAAAATAGTTTTGGGGATATAATTTTAATAAAACCATACCCTTACCCTTACAGCAAAAGATTCTCCTGACGTATGCCAGAAACGTGAATTTTACAAACAATGTATGACCCTTTTTTACACAAGATTGGAGCGATTCTGTTTGATCACATTTGCAGACAATGCTTCTTAATGGACAATGGCAGCATAAATGTGAAAGTGGCTAAGGGGCAGAGAACAGAGACAGTGCAAAACAGCTGTTTTTCAGGTCAGTAGGAGTATACAATGGTATCCTTGAGGGTTGGTATTAGGAGCACTTTTTATAGCCTGCACTTGAGCATAGAGGGCATAATGCAGACAATATAAAAGTTGGAAATGCAGTAAACAGTGACAACAATAACATCAGGCGTCAGGTGAATAGTGGGGGAGAAATAATCATAATATAATTGACTTCCATATCTAGTTTGAAGATGCCACCATACTAAGTAAGAATTGTAAACTTGTACAAAGCCAATTACATAAATATGTAAATACACAAATACATTAACTAGGTAACAGACTAAAAGGAATGGCAGTAAATAAACAGTGGAAAACATTTAAAGAATTAGTTAAAATATCAAAGCAAAAAATTCAACTCGGGTGGAGTTTAATCCGGAACTGTGAGTTGATGTTGGGAGGTCAAATGCAAGAGGAAAGTAGGCTGTAAATAGCTGAACCTTGAGGAATATTTTTATTTATTCATGGTCCATAATCATCACTGGCTAGCCAACATTTATTGCTTGGTTGCCCTTGAGGTGGTGAGCTGCCTTCTTGAACTGCTGCAGTCCATATCCTGTAGATATCGCAGAATCTGTACAGTGCCGAAAGAGGCAATTTGTCCCAGTGAGTCGACACGGACTCTCCGAAGAAGGATCCCACCCAGACCCATTCCTCTACCTTAACACTCTAACTCCGCATTTACCATGGCAATCCACCTAGTCTGCACAACCCAGGACACTACTGGGCAACTTAGCATAGCCAATCGACCTAATATGTGCATCTTTGGACTGCGGGAAGAAACCGGATCACCCGGAGGAAACCCACGCAGACACAGGGAGAATATGCAAGCTTTACACAGACAGTCGCTGAAGGCTGGAATTGAACCTGGGTGCCTGGCACTGTGAGGCAGCAGTATTAACCACTGGGCCACCGTGCCATCCTGTAGATGCACAGAGCCCTTAGAGAGGGAATTCCAGGATTTTGACCCAGCGACAATGAAGGAATGGTGATATATTTGCAAGTCGGGATGATGAGTAACTTGGATGGGAACTTGCAGGTAGTGGTGTTCCCATGTATCTGCTGTGCTTGTGCTTCTGGATGGAAATGGCCATGGATTTGGAAGGTGCTGTCTAAAGATCTTGGGTTAATTTCTGCAGTGCATCTTGAAAATAGTACACAATGCTGCTACTGAGCATCAGTGGTAGAGGGAGAGGATGCTTGTGGATGTGGTGTCAATCAAGCAGGCTGCTTTGTCCTGGATGGTGTCAAGCTTTTTGGATGTTGTTGGAGCTGCACACATCCAGGCAAGAGGGGACTATTCCATCATACTCCTGACTTGTGCCTTGTAATGGTGGACAAGCTTCAGGGAGTCAAGAAGTGAACTACTCACTACAGTATTCCTAGCCTCAGCTCATTTGTCCAAATCTGAATCAAGGTTGTCATGAGTTTAGGAGATGAGTGGCCATGGTGGAACCCAAACTAGTCATCACTGAGCAGGTTATTGCTGAGCAGGTGCTGCTTGATGGCACTGTTGATGACACCTTTCATCACTTTACTGATGATTGAGATGAGCCATGTTGTAATTGTACTGGAACAGCTTGGCCAGGGGAGCAGCAAGTTCTGGACCACAATTCTTCAGCACTATTGCTGGAATGTTGTCAGGACCCATAGTCTTTGCAGTATCCAGTGTCTCCAACTGTTTATTGACATCATGTGGAGTGAATCGAGTTGGCTGAAAACTGGTATCTGTGATACTGGGACCACTGGAGGAGGCTGAGATGGGTCATCCGTTTGACACTTCTGAATGAAGCTTCTTGCAAATGCTTCAGCCTTATCTTTTGCACTGGTGTGTTGGGCTATTCCAAATTGCAGATGGGGATATTGGTGGACTTGCCTCCAGTGAGTTGTTTAAATGTCCACCACCTTTTACAACTGGATGTGGCAGGACTGCAGAGCTAAGATCTGATCCATTGGTTGTGGAATCGCTTAGCTCTGTCTATCCCTTGCTGCATATGCTATTTGACATGTAAAAGTGGTCTTGTTTCATATCTTCACCAGGTTGACACCTCATTTTTAGGTTTGCCTGGTGCTGCACCTGGCATGCCCTCCTGCACTTTCCATTAAACCTGGGTTGATCCTCTGGCTTAATGATATTGGTTGAGTGGGGGATATGCTGGGCTATGAGGTTGCAGGTTGTGCTAAAGTCCAATTCTGCTGCTGTTGATTGTCCACAGCACTTCATGGATGCCCAGACTTGAGTTGCTCAATGTGTTCTAAGTCTGTTCTATTTAGCATGGTGATACTGTCACACAATACGATGGAGGGTGTTCTCAATGTGAAGATGGGACTTCATCTCTACAAGGACTGTGCGAGTCACTCCTACTGATATTGTCATGTATAAAGGATCTTGGGATCCAAATCCACATCTCCCTGAAAGTGGAAACACAAGTGGATAAGGTGGTAAAGAAAGCATATGTCATGCTTATTTTCATCTGTCGGGGCATTGAGTATAATGGTTAGCAAGGCATTTTGCAGCTGTATAAGACTTTGGTCAGGTCACATTTGGAGCACTGATCAGATTCTAGCTGCCATACTATAGAAAGGGTGTGGAGGCTTTGGAGAGGGTGCAGAAGAAGTTTAAAAGGATGTTGCCTGGATTGGAGTGTTTTTGCTATAAGGAGAGGTTGGACAAACGTGTTTGGATTGCTTTTTCACTGGAGTGTCGGCCACTTAAGGATGACATGATATAAGTATATAAAATTATGAGGAGCATGAAGAGGTTGGATAGTTGGAGTCTCTTTCCCAGGGTGGAAACATCAAATACAAAGGAGCGTAAGATTAAGCTGAAAAGGGGAAATGTTTAAAGTAGATGTACAAGGAAAGCTTTTTGCACACAGGGTAGTACATGCCTGGAAAGAAGCAGATACAATAGCAACGTTCAAGAGGCATTTAGACAGACACATGAACAGGCAGAGGATAGAGGGATATGGACCATGTGCAGGCTGATGGGATTAGTGAGGTTGTAGACATGCTCACTGAGCCGGTGGGTTTGGTTGCAAACATTTCATCACCCTGCTAGGTAACATCTTCAGTGCACCTCTGGTGAAGCGTTGGTGTTCTGTCCTGCTGGTTATTTATATGCCTCGGTTTGCTGGGGTGGTTGACATTATTTCCGGTTCTGTTTTTCAGTGGTTTGTATATTGGGTCCAGTTCAAGGCGTTTGTTGATGGAGTTCCAGTTGAAATGCTGGGCCTCCAGGAATTCCCTAGTATTCTCTGTTTGGCAAACATGCCAGGGAATTCCTGGAAGCCTGGCATTCCAACCGGAACTTCATCAACAAACATACTGAACTGGACCCAATATATAAACCACTGAGAAACAGAACCAGAAGCACCAGATGTGGAGGTGCCAGTTGGACTGGGGTGGACAAAGTCAGAAGTCACATGACACCAGGTTTTGTCCATCAGGTTTATTTGAAGTCATAAGTTTTCAAAGCACTGCTCCTAAGGCTTGTGATTTCAAATAAACCTGTTGGACTATAACCTGGTGTCCTGTGACTTCTGACTGTGTCACATAGAATGCAAAAAAATGATACACCGCTCTTCAAAAGTTGTTCTGACAAAAGGTCTCTGGACTTGAAACGTTAACTCTGTTTCTCTCTCCACAGACCTACTGAGTTTCTCCAACATTCTCTTTTTTTTCAGATTTCCAGAATCCACTTATTTTGCTTTTGTTTCAGATTCCAGCATCCACAGTATTTTGCATTTATATCTTTCCACATCTGCCTGGTCAAGGCCCCTCAGAATCTTACATGATTCAATCAAATCACCTTCTCTTTTAAGCTCCAGCAGAAACAAGCCTAATTTATCAAATATTTCCTCATAAGACAAACCTCTCATTCCAGGGATTAGTCTGGTAATTGTTCTCTGAACTGCTTCCAATGCATTTGCATCCTGCCTTAACAAAAGAAACCAACACAGTGCACAGTACTCCAGATGTAGTTTCACCAGTGTCCTGTATAAATGAAGAATAACTTCCCTACTTTTGTATTCAATTCCCCCCCACAATAAACATTAACTTTCCATTAACTTTCCTAATTACTTGCTATACCTGAAGCAAGACGGTGGTGAAGTGGGATGCTACAGCCAGAGCTCCTCTGCTCCACCAGTTCCTTTTCTTTTTTTTCTTTTTTTCTTCTTCTCTCTTCTGCAGTTATTTTTCCCAAACTTTTAACTTCTAAAACTTCCCCAGAGGGAATGGAGCAGGTGACTCCCAGATCGGAGGCCATTGCTGGCGAGTCCTGGAGGCAATTCTGAGACCAGGTCGGCATGGGAGGCAAGTCTGAGACCAGGCCAGCGCAGTAGGCAAGTCCCAGACCAGGCCAGTGCGGGAGGCAAGCCTCAGGCCGGAGGCCGGTGCAGGAGTTAAGTCCCAGGCTGGAGGTTGGCGTGGGAGACAAGTCCCAGGGGCGAATCCCAGGCTGGAGGCCATCACAAGGAGACAAGTCCCAGACCGGAGGCTGTCGTGGGGAGGTGAGTCCTGGACTGGAGGCCACTGCGGGGGAGGCGAGACCTTTGCGGACTGGAAGCGAGACCTCAAGTTTTGAAGCCCAGCTTGGTTTGGAAACTTGGCCTGGGGGTGCGGTCTGGAGGCTCAGTGCTGGCACAGACTTGATGAAAACTACTGTATTTTGAGTACTTTTTAAAAGCTTTTTATTCTTATGCTGGACTTTGAGTAATTCAAGTACTTTTTAAAAACTTTGTATTCCTGTGCTGGACTTTATTTATTATTCTTTCAATTCCGTAACGAATACTTAAGTATCTGTACCTAGGTTTCCTAAACCTAAGATGGCGCCATAAGCAGTGACATTGCAAACTTTTTACTGCACCCATTCAAGTGCATGCAACAATAAAGCCAATTCTAATTCTAATTCTAACTGCATACTAGCCTTTGCATTTGGTTAATGTTCAGACAGAGTTGGGTGCACTCATACAAGTAGCACAGAAATTTACCATGTAGGTAAAGCAAGGATACATCATCATGGTATGTATTTCAGGCTCTGATAGACGAATTGCTGGGCTGTCTGGGAACTAAAATATATGGGAATGTGGCAGGGGTGTACAATGGAGCTGAGTGAGCAAGCAGGAAAGTACAATTAAAGCCAAAGATCAGCCATGATGAGACTGAATAACAGCTTTTGCTGCTCGGGTGTCTGTCAGGGAAGAATGGGGAGTCCCTCTTTTTTAAAGGTGGGATGGACTCTGTCCGCATCTAAGGAATTTCCTGCCTCCATGATAGACTATCACCTTCTTCAGCTTTTTTCCTTGGTTTCTGAAACCCTGCCTACTTTCCTCACTGGCATCTCTCAGCCAGCCAGCCAAAAATAGCAGACTTGCCTCTGGGAAAGTGCCTATCAGTCCAGTACTAAACAAGCTCATTCCTGGTCCTGCTGGACTGATAGATTGGGGTAGAAGTCCCAGTCTGAATCAATTAAGTCTGCTCCCAGCATATTATTACTGTGGACTGCTCAATACTGAATGGGTGGGCTCAAGGGGAATTTTTTTGCTCATTGATGGGATGTGGGCATTGCTGGCTGGACCAACATTTATTGCTATACCTAGTTTGAGTAAGTGGTGATGTGCTGTCCTCTTGATCCACTTCATTCATTTGGTGTATGTATTTTGTATTTCTATGTAGGTACACCTGCAGGGCTGTTAGGGAGGGAATTGCAGGATTTTGATCCAGTGACAGTGAAGGAATGGCAGTGAGGAAAGGATGGTGAGTGACTTGGAGGGGAGTTTGCAAGTGGTGGTGTTCCCATGTATCTGCTGCCCTTGTCCTTCTAGGTGGAAGTGGTCAGGGGTTTGGAAGGCAATGTCTAAGGATCTTGGGTAAATTTGCTGTAGTGCATCTTGTAGCTAGTACACGCTGCTGCTACTGAGCATAGGTGGTGGATTGTGTTGCTCCCATGTATCTGCTACCCTTGTCCTTCTAGGTGGCAGAGATTGAGAGTTGGAAAGGTACTTTCTAAGGAGCCTTGGTGAATTCCTGCTACTGATGGCTGGGAAGAATCAGCCAAGTTTCCTGACCCACATTATTGTCTAGTTATCCTGTTTAGAAGTGCATGTGAGTGCTGGTGGGTGGAAAAGGGGTCAGGCTCTACTCTAAAGATTATTTGTTAAATATCCTGACCAAACTCACTGCTGCTGCTGAGTTTCAGTAGTAAAGGGAGTGAATGTTTAAGCTGGTAGATATGATGGCAATCATGCAGGATATTTTGTCCTGGATGGTTTGAGCTTCTTGACTGTTGTTGGAACTGCATCGGTTGAAGCAAGTGGGAGTATTCCACCACACTCCTGACTTTACTTTGTGGGTGGTGACAGGCATTAGAGAAACAGGAGTTAATCACCACAAAATTCCCAGCTTCAGAACTGATCTTGTCACAATATTTATATGGCTGGTCGGATTCAGTTTCTGGTAAATGATCTCCAGAACAGTGAGTGTTGGGGATTCAGCAATGGTAATGCCAGTGAATGTTAAAAGGTGATAATTAGACTGTCTCTTGTTGGGTTTGTGGTACTGTAGTTTCCCTAATGGCTCTCTTTGGGCTTCCTGATTCCATCACGTCTCTCAGTCATTTATCTTGCCTACTGCTGTGTTTCCACCCAGATGACCCATATATCTACGTATTTCATCATTAGCTCCTCTGTGTCTTTCCCATACAACCTGCTTCAATATTTTATACCCAATCATAAGACCCTTGTAAGGGAAAAGGATTCAGATGGACAAGAAGGCAGGATACAAGAGATACCAAGAGAGATTCAAAAGCACATCTCTATTCTGTACAAGAAAGCAAAATCAGGCTTTTTTAAAACACTGTCCAGTTTTGAACAAATTAGAAGCAGGTGCTATATTCTGGTTAGATTTCAAGATACGGTAACAACCAACTAACAAAACTGCATTGGTAAGTCCATTTTACATTCATGTGCAGAAAAGCTTACAAATACTCTCGTCCCAAATTTTAGATAGTACTAATCAGAGGCATTCTCCACGTTTAGCACAACTGTACACAATTGTCAAAATCAGAATAATCAGCCGGAGGTGTATACATCCACACATCCAGCAGTGTGTGTCATATGTATACATGTGTCAAGATGAGCATTAATGGCAGGCTGTAGCAGGACACTTGAATTATGTTATCCAATTTGGTCTCCACTTGCTGGCACATCCCATCATTAACAGGGGACAAACAGCAATCTGTTCAAAAAAAGCAGCAGGTTCCCTTGGAGACAGGAAATAACTTACATTTAGGAAGTTACAGGATGTTACATACAGCCAGGGTAGGCAGCCCTTACTCTGGAGAAATAGGCTGAAAGGCAAATACATAATTGTTCGACAACACATGGTATAGATAGGCTTAGCAGTTGGAAAATTGATATTTATCTTTCTTTCTTTAAAGTCCACACTCTGGTGTGAACTTGTTACATTTTGTCTTTAATCTCAAGCATGCAAAGTTGACCAGCTTTAATCAATTTTGATATATGAACACACACCCCTCAGATAATGACCTAAGTTCCAAACTAAACATCGGACAAAACAACCACTCTTGAAAGTGTTTCACATCCAAATGAAACAATAATTTGAATACTTCTTACCTTCCTTGATGCTGCCTGACCTGATTGGTGGAAGAGCTTGTGGAGGTGGGATCTGCGTGATAAGTGGCTGTGGCTGTGGTAACTGTTGTATAATTGTTGAGGGCTGCTGGGAAAGCTGGGAGAGAGAAACCAAGAGTAAACATTGGATAGTATAAAGAAATAGCTGAGCAACAATTATTGACAGCAAGTTAATTTTCGTCGCTAAGTAGCATGCTGCTAAAAGAAATGTAAAGTAGAAAATGGGTTAAAAAGGCTTAATAGCAACTTTCACAAACCATGATGTTCCAAAGAGTTTACAGCTTATTAGCCTGGTCAACTCTGTATCTCAAGCATCACATGTTGTGGCTCAGGAGCCTCCCTCTGGCACTTGCTACAGAGGAAAAGAGTGGGTTGAAAAGGTACACAATTTGCTGGCCTCTATTTTCTGTGGCCCTCTTCTTGACCAGCTAATCTTTCTGTTTCTCCATTTGTCGTCCAATGCCTCTCCAAAAATCAGACTTCAGAGATCATGGCCGTCAGTGACTACCTTCCAGTTGTCTGTGTTGGCTTCATATTTTGTTTGTAGAGGAGGTATGGACTTCCAGCAGATCAAGATCCTGTGGCTATTTCACTTAACAAAACATATTTGGATATATGTGGTCATCCATTCAATGCACATGAAGACAACATTGGCTTAATAGGGTGGCATTGTGGCTCGGTGACTAGCCCTGCTGCTTCACAGCACAGGGGACCCGGGTTCAATTCCTGCGTGGACTTTGCACAGTCTCCCTGTGTCTGCGTGCATTTCCTGTGGGTGTTCTGGTTTCCTCCTAAAGTCCAAAGATGTGCAGGTTAGGTGGATGGGCCATGGGACATACAGGGTTACAGGGAAGGGGTAGGGGTTGGGTCTGTGTGGGATGCTCTTTGGAAGGTCGGTGTGGACTTGATGGGCCGAATGGCCTGCTTCCACACTGTAAGGGGATTCTATGTATCTAACAAGTGTCTGCTAATGGAATAAGCAGCTTTGGGATCTCCTATTTGATGACATTGTCTTGCTGAGAAATCCTGAGGCTGCATCTAAGACAGCAAGTAAACTTTTGTCTTTTTCCCTACCAAGCATTTGTTGTCTAGGTCTCTCCGCTTCAGAGAATTACTCTGAAGATGCAGTGGTAGATTGCTGTGTAGTGTCCTCATTTAGGTTGCTGATGTTCTACACTCTCTTACTCAGCTAGAACATAATAGCTGCAGCTTTTTGATGCACGTGCTGATTTCAGCATCAAGTGACAGATTGCTGGTGACTGCAGAGTCTAGGTATGTGAACCTATCAACAACCTCCTGTAACACATTGTCAATGCTGATGGATGGTAGTATGGCAATATTCTGGCCATGGTGCTTATCTTCCTGGTGGTAACGGTCAAACCAATGCTCACGGAGACAGAGTCTGCCTATATTCCTCAGAGTGGAACGCTATTGCAGCATTGTATGTGTAGTACGACGCTGTGATATAGACTTTGTAGATTTTGTCTTTGATCTCAGACAGGCAAGCCTAACCAGTTTTACATCAATTCCCTCTGAATACAACCTGATGGCAAATGAAGCAGCAAAGAGAAGAATGTGTCCAAGAGTGTTGGTACCAGGACACAGCCCTGTTTGACCCCACTCAGATACTCAGGTTCTGAGGATCTGCCGTCATTGCTGACCTCACCCATCATTATGTCATGGAAAGAGGAGATCACAGTGAGCAACTTTAGAATGCAGCCTATTATGTCCAGGAGCTTAAATCAACCACCTCTGCTCATATGGCTGACTGCCTCGGTGAGATTGCTAAAAGCAATATTCTGTGTTTGCTTTTATTCACAACATTTTACATGTTACTATTGGACTCATGTCATTGTGGAACTACCAGTTCTGAAACCACAAGAAGAAATTCAGGGCATAAGAACATGATTGGGCCATTCAGCCCGTTAAGCCTGTGCACCCATTCAATACAATCATGGCTGATCAAAAGCTTCAATGCCAGAATCTGCAGTCTGACTAGAGAAAAAATAGATATACTTGTACCACATTGTTCACTAGGGAAATATCTTTGTAGCTGTCACAGTCCTCTTCTTGTTGAGGGCCACAACATTTGCATCATGCATAACCTGAAGCAATACCCTCTCCCTGCAGCAGAGCAATTATGCAAATAATGCAGGATTGCTAGTTTCCTATGCTTGACGAATTCAGGTATTCTAGCATTGACTGAAGCGTGGTCAATAGCTGGTACCTTTGCTAAGCTCCTTCACTGAGAGTTTGATGTCCAGCTCTTCCATGGTAGGTGGGCTATCAATGATGTCTAGAGCTTCCCATTCTCAGGGCACTGTTCCACCTAACTCTCTGAGTATTGCAATCAACAATGACTTAATTTTGTCTCAATGTCACTGTTTTCTTTACAGATAGACTTTTTGATCCGCTGTGTTTGAGGTCAGCTGGATATTCTGGCAAACGTGTAACTGTAGACATTGCCTAGCAGTCTGAGTTTATTTCAGGCAGCTCCCAGGTTATTCCAAGTCTTCTTGCCTAGATTCTCCTTGTAATAAACGATAACAGATTGCTTGGCTTCAGTGACAGGGTCCCAGCCTCAAACTAGATGATGTTCTTCCACTCTTGCTTGCCACATATTGAGAATGCAGTATTGTAAATCATATTTTGAAGTATATTACATTTCTCTTCTGCATTCTGTGTGGGAATGAGGGAGATTGCTTATTCAGTGGAATTCAGGAACTGTTTTAAAGTACCCTACAAACCTCGGGGTGCTGCAGCCCAATGCAATGAGAAGGGATGGAAATCCCTCCATCCTGCTGTTGTGGAAAGTATTTCAAACAACCATCCTTGATTCATGTGCTCTGTTGGCTCCGTTCATAGCCAGGTCACTTCTGGATTAAAGATTGTAGATTTGAGTGCATTATTTACATTACACTCCTGTGTCGAACTGATAATGCAGACTGAACTGTTAGTATAATGTTCCTTCTAGTGTGATGATACTGTAGTTTTAACAGGTGTATTTTATCCAGTTTTTTTTATGAAGGGTGGTTGAGACAGAGATGTTGAGTGGTCTATTCCAAACCAATAAAGTAAACAGCTTGTGAAGTCTTGGAGTTTTTTTTTAAAGTTGCAACAACAGAAGCAGCATGAACGGGTGGGGTCAAGCTCCCACGGAACCAGGATTTTAGTTTAACTTCCAGTAGCTGTCGGTGTTTGGAAGCTGCCATGTATCTCTCCCTGCTGTGGCAAAATGCTTGAGTTCTTTCTCTCTCTGTTTCTCAGACACAGAGTTTTCTCTTGATGTTCTTTTCTCCTGGATTGGAGAATTGCATGTGAGACAATCTATTTTACTGAATTTGCCTTTGTCAAGGATGTGTTTATGAGACGTTACGATATTAGAACAGTTGCTGTTTAGTAGTTAAATGATAACTCTTCTCCAGAAGAGTTGTTATTCCAATTCTTCTTTCTTTTGTTTGTATTTTAACGATAGTGTTAGAATAAAGTGCATTTTGCTTCAAGGCTGGTAGTTTGACCAATTGAATTGCATCCGGAACACAATACCTTACACTTGCTTTAAAAATAAGAAAAGGTTGCAGTGTAGGCTATCGTCTTAATATATTCTGAGGGGTTTTGGTCTAATCTGTAACACTTGGATGAGACATTAAACTTAGGCCCGTGATGTCAATAAGTACATGTTAATGACCCATTGTCCTATTTTATTAAGAGTTTGGTATCCTCTTTTCATAGTGCTGGTTGAAAATCATCCAAAATAAAAGTGACTAAATGCTTTTTTTCACCATACAGCTGATTGTGGGACACGATGAGGACAGAACAGCAGCTGTGTTTGCTCACTTTACAATAATTACACATTTCAAAACTATTTAATTGTGTGAAGTATTGTATGACCTTACAGACACCTATGAGACATGAAAGCTCTCATTTCACTTTTTAAAATTATTCAACAATACTTGATAATAATTCAACAGCATTCATTGTTTCTTAGGAGTTAAATATTCAATAATTAGCATTCTTACAATCATGACTGTTTAGTTATGATTCGGAGGTCTTAGGAAAACTATATTAAAGGCTCTTTTTAAAATCGACCTTGGAAAAGACACCTTGTACATTGGCATTATGGCAGGATATCTCCACAGGATGCCATGAAGATAAAGCGATGTCAGCATTCATATTAGCAGTGAAAGTCCTCTACTAAAGCTGTAGAACCTGGAACTACATTGACACTGCCCAAGGTCATTTAATACATATAGGATAACGCAGTATAAGGATTAATGTTATGTAGCAGGGCCTCCAACAGCAGTTGATGGTGCAGGTGTGTACATCAGTGGCTCTGATGAGAAGACTCCTCAAATGAAACCATATGGGTAGAACATAAAACCAAAACAAAAAGAGTAATCATGTTGCTGGAAATGTACTATAGACACCCAAAAAAAAGAGGAACAGATATGTAGGCAAATTTCAGAGAAGTGTAAAAGTAATAAGGTGGCAATAGTAGTGTGTCTCAGCTTGCCCAACATTAACTGGGGTAGTCATAGTGTGAAAGACTTAGAGGGAGCAGAATTCTTAAAATGCATCCAGAACAGCTTTTTAAGCCACTACATAGAATGTCCTACAAGAGAGAGGGCAGTCCTGCACTAGGTAATCAAGCTGGGCAAGCGGTTGAAGTATCAGTGGGGGAGCACTTTGTCGATGGCAATCATAACTGTTAGATTCAAGATTATCGTGGAAAAGAACAAGGATGGCCTGAAATCAAAGTTCTCCACTGGGGGAAGGCTGATTTTTATAAGGTAGAATGGCAGAGAGGGCAGCAGAGAGACTTCACCAAGGAGCATTCTGGGAGAAGTCAGCTCAGTCACAATGACTGAACAGCAGAGTGAGGAAGAACACCATGTCAAGGAACAGTAAGCCACAAACATTACATTACTGTAGTGTTTCCATCCTTCCCACCTCCTCCAACTTAAAACAAGGAGAGAGAGAGATAGAGAATGACTGTTAGGAAGGTTGTTGTAGCCTGGAAAGGACTTGGTCTGTTTGTAAACCTTGCACTGTAATTGAAGTAACCAGTTAATTGGAAATTACCAACAAAATAATTTG